GGAAATTTTAGACTTCTCTGTCTCCTCTGTCCTTGTTTGACACGTTGGAATGTTTGATACACTTCCAACGAGTATTTATGAATGAGATGTTCGGTCTATCTTTATAATGTCTTTGCATACAACCTATACTATATTTTCAAACACTCAAAATTCTCTACTAAAATGCGTTCAAATGACTTTTAATTTTAGTCACAGATATATATTACCAGAAAATTACATGATTGATCGCCTTGTATATCATTGTTTTAGACGACAAACACCCACGGCAGTTGTAACGCTTTTACAAAAGCTGTATTGATCGATTTGATACGGAGGCGATGAAATAAATTACATATTTATATCTTTTGATTACGCTATGGACATAATATTTAGCTTACATTTTTCTTGGTATATTTAAAATGGGACATTATAATAATAGTTTGAAAATGTACATGACAATATAGAAACACTGCCGACATAAATTTTGATTATATCGGTGCCTTATATGTTTAAGTATGTCCTAGGGAACAAATTGTTAATTATTTAAAATTATAAAACGGTATAGAGAAGTTACACACTGTATTTTTTGAATAAGTACCGTATGATCGAAAAAAAAACGTCGTCAAAGACGGCTAGAGAATGACAAACTGTGATAATTTTGGCTAGGTCAATCTCCAGCCATCATTTACTAAAAATTGAAATAATACTTGCCAGAAATTAACACTAATTATAGAAAGCTTAAAAAAGGATAAAACATTTTCAGCTGTTTGATAGTTGATATGCTGATTTGGATTTCCCTATCTACCCTTGTTTATAGCAATCTGCATGTTGTTGCAGTCGAACTCTCTTTGCAAATGCTTTACTAGATTTATAGGTGTATTACTTGTATAGTCTATAAAATGAATAACTTTGAATTTTGACCGTTATTTTTACCAACATCAAACCAACATGGCAAATATAAAATCCCTCTGTCAAAATAGTTACTGATATTCATTAAATTGAGTGCCTGAACGAATCAGATAGGTAACTCTTTTTACTTTCGTGAAATAGAAAAGGAAAATAATAAAACAAGTGACAGTTCTTCCTCTTCTTGCAAAAGTCAACACGAAATGTCATAATTGTCAAAAGTAAAATGTCATCAGCTTTTGACATTTCGAAATATCAGACCAATGCCGTCTCTAGTAGAACAGCCTCGAACTGAGATTTATGACGTCACGCTAGTTAGATACTACGGATTAATAAATATGTTGTGCAATACATAGAAAACATAATTATTCCTCGTATTTTTGGTTTGTATTTTAAAAATGATATAGTTTACATGAAATATATATAATATGTACTAAATAATGTGTAAATAAATACTTTGGCAAATAAACTATGAACCATACAAATGCAGCAAATGTTTTGCAATATACAAATAATAAATAATAGGTACATAAGATAATGGGTAAAATGTAAAATATATTTTAAATGTTTTACTGTTTTGGCTCTCTATTTGAAGAGGTATAAAAGCTGACGACATAAAAACACAAAAGAAACAGTAAAAACAATAAAAAAAAAGTCAAAAGTAAGCAGTAAACAGTAAAAACAGACAGCAAAATCAGTAAAAGTCTGCTGTCTGACTCAAGTACCCCCATACAATGCCGTCTCTAATAGAACAGCCTTAGGGCGAGATTTATGACGTCACGCTAGTTAGATACTGCGGATTAATAAATATGTTGTAGAATACATGGAAAACATAATTATTCCACAGATTTTTGGTTTGTATTTTAAAAATGATATAGTTTACATGAAATATACATAATATACAGTTAATAACTACAACATATATATATATATATATATATATATATATATATATATATATATATATATATATATATATATATATATATATATATATATATATATATATATATATATATATATATATATATATATATATATATATATATATATATATATAAATATATATATATATATATATATATATATATATCACTATAAACAACTCTAATAAATACTTTGGCAAATAAACTATGAACCATACAAATGCAGCAAATGTCTTACAATATACAAATAATAAATAGGTACATAAGATAATGGGTAAAATGTAAAATATATTTTAAATTTTGGGGTTTGAAAATCGATCTAATTTAACAGGAAACATTCAATATCTACTAATAGTGATGTATTATTATTTGCATTCACAAAATTTATATGTATATTTTGCAAGTATCAATGTTCAAAAAATTATATTTGCAAATAATACAATATCATAGAAAAAAAGGCGTCAGCGATCGCTGTCATTTTATATGTAAAATGGTTCTAAAATTTTTGATTTTCTTGAGAGGGAAAAACGCTGATTAAGTTTTCATTTGGTTTTTCATTATTTTTATTTGGTTAAAAAAACGTTTCGGCTAACATTATAGCCTACATCAGTGTTGTGTGTTGTGTCATATGAAAAAAATAGTGTCGAATATAATCCAAAAAATTACATTTAAAATATACACACGACACACCACATAATGTTTACTGCAATTAATAAACTAATATAAATTTGTCAAAAGATGACCACATATTTTTTAAAATTATTATTCTTAACACTAAAACTCGCTCTACATTGACTATGGAGTACGATTTCAGTCATAGTCAATGTACATAGCTTTAGTGTTATTTGTTACGTTATTTAGTTTATTTGGCTGTTCTATTAGAGACGGCATTGCGTCATCATGGCCGCAAGTTGCCAACCTAATAAAATTAACACTAGAAAAGCCCGCGGGAACTGTCAAATTCAAAGTTATTCGTTTCACAGACTATATACATGTGTACATCCTGTATACTTATTTATTTATTTATGATTTCGCTGCATTCTTCCGCGGTGTTATATGAAAAACCGTTGACGGTAGACATAAATCCGCTACCGGAGGTCCATTATCTTGTCAATTAGGACCAAACGCCGACAATCGTTTCACTCATTTAATTCAAATTGATATTATATTGTTTTTGAGAGCGATAAATCCTCTAACGGGCTGTCAAATTAAATGCCGACCAGTCGACAGGTCGTGGAAAGTGTAAATCATGTGTTAGTACACCATTATTACATGAAAATAATGACAAAAAAGTATAAATAAACAAAAAAGTATAAATACAGGGAAAAGCACATCAGAAAGATGGAACTAACCTCTGTAAAACCGTTTCTGATATTGGCTTTTATCAAAGCTTTGAGACTGTTATGATGAGTTATAACTCAAGAATTGGACAGTAAACTCCTGTGGAACAGGCATATTAAGAACACTACCAGCAAAGCCATAAAGGCTCTCATGATATGCAGAAGACTGGCCGGAAATAGATGGGGCTGCTCCCCTAACATTTTGCGCTGGATGTATACCATGATAGTAAGACCCATGATTACTTATGGAGCAGTTGCCTGGTACACAAAACTAGAGCAACGGACGGCAAGGCTAAACCTATGCAAAGTCCAGAGACTAGCATGTGTTTGCATCACAGGAGCCATGAGAACCTGTCCAACAGCAGCAATGGAGGTCATTCTAGATCTAACACCACTGCACATTGTCATTGGTAGATATGCCAATGCGACAATGATTAGAATGGTCACTAACAGAATTAGTACTGGGAGAATTGTCAGATCAGGGGCTTGGAACACACCCAAAAAGGAAATATCACTCCAGCAACTCCCAGTGGACGATATGCCAAGAACGTACAACTTTGACAAACATGTCAATGTAGTATTGAGCAATAAGAAGGATTGGAAGAGCGAAACGCTTGCCCAGCAGTTAAAAGACCATACCATAACTTGGTATACTGACGCTTCCAAAACCAATACGGGAACAGGGATCGGAGTGTTTGGGCCGAGAGCTAATTACTCCGAACCAATGGGCACTTACCCTAGTATCCTACAGGCAGAAATCTACGCTATCGAGAGATGCGTACAACTTATCTTAGATAGGAACTATCGGAAACAAGAAATAGCCATCTTGTCTGATAGTCAAGCAGCGTTAAAGGCGATCAACTCAGTATCAATCAATTCGAAATTGGTCAAAGAATGCATAGAGAAGCTGAATAAATTAGGCAAAGAAAACAAAGTCCTCCTACACTGGGTGCCTGCTCACCAAGGGATAGAAGGCAATGAAAAAAGCAAATAATCTAGCTAGGAAAGGAGCGAACACTCCACTAACTGGACCAGAACCGTTCTGCTTTCCAAGTGGTAACCAACTCAAGGCGGAACTCAAGAACTTGAAAGATTCCATCCGCAACCTGGAATGGAAATCTTGCAATGGTCTAAGACACTCGAAGAAGTTTCTGAGGGCTTATGATCAAGAAAAAATCAGATCTTCCTGGGTCTGAGTAAGAACAATCTTCGGATTGTCACGGGGTTTTTAACAGGACACTGTCTCCTCAATGAACACCTCAGTAGACTGAAACTAAGAAGAAACGGCGAATGCAGATTCTGTGGGGAAGATGGGGAAACACCAGTACACCTCATCACTGAGTGCGCCGAGACGACAACCATTCGTGCCATGAATTTTGGTACGACTGATATTGGAGATGGAGAACTACCCTCTATAAAACCGTCCCAGATACTGGCTTTTGTCAAAGCCCTGGGACTGTATGATGAGTTATGATTCAAGAAAGGGGGACACAATGGATCTGTAAGGTCGAAGTGATTAACCCCCCTCCCACTCATTTTAAATTCTAAAAAAAATTTTAACTCAAGAATTATAACTCCTCCATATTCTATATATGTTATTATTCTATATATGTTATTATTCTATATATGTTATTTATTATGTTTTTTTTTTTAATTTTACCACCCTGTATCTCATAAATTAAGATGTTTAGAACATACTTTCATATGAAGTTTTTCTTTTAGAATAGGTTCAAGAATCACCCCTTTAAATGTTAGCACGTCATTAAGGAACACCCTGTATAATATTCTCAAAATTTTCCTAAATATACTTTTTTCAAAAAAAAATATACTTTTTATTTTTTCTACTTACCAAAATCCGAATTACAATAATGTGTTTGAGGATGTGCCGGCATACAGCTACAACCATAGGCGTACTTTAGGGTACTCACGAAGAATAAAACGGAGAAAATGAATATTCGGTAGTCCATTATCTGAAAAAAAGAGAAAAAAAATCTTTTAGGAATTTCATAAATGCACCTAAAAAAAATCTTATATAGACAAATTTTGATCAGAAATCAGAACCCAAAACTTAAAAAAAATACGTTTTGAGGTCAGAACTGTAGTTTTGAAATATTTCTTATGCCGTCGATACGTCATAGTAAATAAATTTCAAACAACATTGGCCTAGAACTGAAATTAACTGCATCTTTAGCTTGTTTTAAAGCGTTGCACATGTGTATTTATTTATTAACAAGGATTAAAATAGTGAAAACGTTTTACTTTATTTATTTATAGACAAACTAGTAACGTAAATGATTTGTTAATGTAGATATAGTTCAATTGAATTTTTAAAATGTAATCCAGTTTTTTCATAGCATGATTTAAACACTCTATTACCAATTCAATTTATTTAAATTTATTTTAATAAGAGAATTTGTTGTTATTAAATTTAAAAAATATACATTTGTTAGGTTATTTAGAATCACAACCTATTACTAATTAAAATACTTTATTTTTAAGTGTGCTGTTTAGATTTACTTAGTAATCGAAATAACATCAATTTATTTTTATTTTATTCCTTTATTCCTTTTATCACAGAATATCTAGCTACGCAGTTATAGCATATATACAGGGTTGTTCACCACATACGACACGGAGTATTGTAGTTAAACGATGAGATTTTTACAAATTGTAAGTTTCGGGTTCGATGAAGGACTATTAGAGGTACAATTTAAAAATAATTTTACAAGATACAGAGTGTCCCAAATAAATAGAAAATATCAAAGTTGTACTTTTTTAAATGGAACACCCTGTATATTATTACATTTTTAGTTTCTACGATTAAAATAAAGGTAAATTAGATTAAGATTTATTATACTTGAAATATTTTCAATTTTGGGAAATTGCAGTAAAAATTTTAAGGCTTCATTTCTCCAAGGGTATCAAAGTTTTTAATACTAAATATTTACTGAAGTTTATTTACTGATCAGTTATTGTGTTGCAATAATAAAAATAATACTACCTTATACAGAGTGTCTAAAAATTTATTTTAAATAATTATTAGCTTCAAACGGCAATAACTTGTTTAATTTAAATGGAATACCCTGTATATTTTACGAGAATCAGATGCACAATTTAATTGTCTATCAAATTATATTATACCATTTTTTATCTATCTCTTTAAGTTTCCGTAGAAAATGCATTTACTTGTAATTTAGAACTTATTTATCAATATACCCATGGACTATTGACATTTTAGATTATTTTTAAAGATGTACCAAATTTTTAAAGAGTACAGATACTAATATTGTCGATATAATTCGTTTATTCCATTAAAAATAAAAAAAAAACTGTTTAAATATTTGTTAAAGAGGACCAATTAATATGATTCCAGTATTCAAACTACATTAACTGACTGTTTGCGTTGATTAATAATAATTGCTCCAAATACTAAAAAACTGAATTTTGTATGGGCATTAGACAGTGTGATAAAAAGTAACACCTTAAAAATGATATTTCATTTTTTAATAAATGCTTATTTACAACAACAGAGACTTTAATTTGATAACTTATTATGATATTGATTTCTGACTCAAATGCACATTTATTTATAATAATTTATTAACGAACACAATTAAGTATGTAATTAATTAGTATATGGGCGGAAATAATGGTGTTATATTTAATTAATGGTATACTCTTTTATAAAGATTTAAATAGTTTTCTTTTTGCATACAAATGGGCTAGTAATATTATCGTTTTGCTAAAAACGATAATATTACTAGTCTGTACATTTTGTACATTTGTTGCTTTAAAAACAATCTAAAATGTCAATATTCCATGGATATATTGATAAATGAGGTCTAAATTATAAGAAAATGCATTTTCTACTAAAACTTGAAGGGATAGGTAAAAAATGGTATAATGCAATTTGATAGACAATTTAATTGTGCATCTGATTCTCCTAAAATATACAGGGCATTCTATTTAAATTAAAGAAGTTGTTGCCGTTTGAAGTTAATAATTATTTAAAGTAAATTTTTAGACACTCTCTATAAAGTAGTATTATTTTTATTATTGCAACACAATAACTGATCAATAAATAAACTTCATTAAATATTTAGTATTAAAAACATTGATACCCTTGGAGAAATAAAGCTTTAAAATTTTTACTGCAATTTCACAAAATTGAAAATATTTCAAAAACGTAATGTTTAAGTATAATAAACCTTAATCAAATTTACCTTTATTTTAATCGTAGAAACTAAAAATGTAATAATATACAGGGTGTTCCATTTAAAAAATACAACTTTGATATTTTTTATTTATTTGGGACACTCTGTATCTTGTAAAAATATTTTTAAATTGTAGCTCTAATAGTCCTTCAACGAACCCCAAACTTACAATTTGTAAAAATCTCATCGTTTAGCTACAATACTCCGTGTCGTATGTGGTGAACAACCCTGTATAGTATATAGTTAAAATGGTATTTTATCGTCTTGTATAAAAAATAACTATTTATGAACCTTCTATAGAATAAAATCTTTGTACGCCGCTGATTTCTACTACTCTAATCCATCCAAAATGTCACTAGTCTTTAATAAAAGGTTTTTCTTTGGGATAATATACAGGGTGGCCCATCGAAAACGTTCCGCAAGGCATAACGGCCAGGGTATGTTTTTTTTCAGAAAATTCAATAACACGTCAATTTTGTTTGTGAGGGGGACAACTTTTGCCCCAAAAATGATTGCAAAATCTTCAACCCTCTAAGCGGGGGTGTCATCCCCCAATTTTTTTCAAATGGGAATGGGGGTCAAGTGGTACCGCATTGAAAAGGGCTTTCTATTCTCTATACTTTCCCGCTTCGTTTTTGAAAATCGGTCGAGCCATTGAGAAAATATGAAGGATTGAAATTTGAAAAGTTTATTTAAACATTTATCAGAGTAAATGATAAGGATAAATTCCTTCGACCAATTTGCTGTTTTTTCTTATTATTTCTAGATGTTTACGCATTTTTTCACTTGCCACAAGGATGAACGATCGGGTTAGGTAGAGTGTACTTTCTTTTTGAAAGGTGTAGTTAATCGGCACAACTGTCGGTACTGGGCCGAGGACAACCCCAGGGTTTTTCACGAGGTGCACACACAAAACCCTAAGAAATTGAACGTGTGGGCTAGTATTTTGAGAAATTCTATTGTGAGTCCTTTTTTTCTTCCTGGAAATCTAACAGGTGATATGTACTTGGATTTACTGAAAAATACCATCGACCCAGCCCTAACTGACATCATAGAGAACAATCCTGGATACTTTGAAGCGGAACTAATATTTCAACAAGACGGTGCACCTCCACATTACTCTCAAAATATACGTAATTATTTAAACAATAACTTTCCCGTTCGGTGGATAGAACGAAGGGGTGCAATAGAGTTAATAGCCCTAGTCGGTTACTCGACTTGACTCCTTTAAACTTTTTTCTATGGGGACACCATAAAAAGTAAAGTGTATAGCACTCATTTTTTGGATTTTTCGAAAAAAAAATACCCTGGCTGTTATGCCTTGCGGAACGTTTGGGCCACCCTGTATAAAAGGCTGCTTTCTCGAGTCTGTTCCTATAATAAATTAATTAATTAATTGAGAAAGCTAGTAGATGAGCAGATCAAAAGACAGAGGAAGTAAAATTTTAAAAAAAATCTAAATTTAACCCTGGATCAGACCAGTTTTTCTTCTGGAATGACATCGTAAATTTTATTCGAAGCCCTATTAAAACGTCATTTTGTCTAAAAATAAAAGACGCTGGAAAATTAAGATTATCAAGACCAGGGTTTCTAAAGATGCAGGACATGCAGGATTTTCAAAATATAATATACAGGGTGTTCCAAACTGTATTCCGGAAACTTCGGCAGCATATTCTGCAGATAAAAATAAGTAAAAAAGTTCGTATAAATGTATGTCCTTAAATGCTTAGTTTCGGAGATACAGGGTGTGGACCAAACCAAATAATATCTGAAGTAACGTCAATATTTGGATGAAAATTGGAGTTTTTTGACAAGAGAAATTTAATTTTGATATCAATATGAGTCCTACTTGTAGAGGTAGCTACGTACATATTTTTTAACAGGTTTGAAGATTAATAACTTTTCGTCCGTACCTGTATAAAACTGCTGAGTAAAGAATATACATTTAGGACGTTTTAGACAAACAAAAAACCAACATTGGGAAATTTTCTCTAAACGAATGGAGAGTGACTTCTACGGACTTCAAAAACAAATTTGGCGCTTTATAGGAACGCAAAGAAAAGAGATTAACGAGATAGTTGAAACAAATCACATAGCAAGGGAATCCTGGATTGATTATTTGTCAGAACTATACAAATCAGAAGAGATAGAGATTGGACTAAATACACCCGAAATAATGACCAACGACAACGTACAGATTGAGGCAGCCGATATAATTACATCCCTTCGAAAGCTAAAGAATAGGAAGAGCCCAGGGCAAGATGATATCCCAAACGAATTACTTAAATATGGCGGCCAAAGTCTCATACAGCAGCTAACATCCCTGATTCAAAAAATCTTTACCAACACAGGATACCCGATGAATGGCGAACCAGCACCACTATCTTGATGTGTTAAAAGAGGAGATAAGAAGCTGCCATCAAACTATAGAGGCATAAATCTTCTAAGCACCACACTAAAACTTACGACAAAAGTGATAACAACCAAAATTAACGACTTAACATGCTTAGCAGATGAACAGCAAGGTTTCAGATCGGGCAGATCATGCACAGACGCGGTTTTTGTCATAAGACAGATAACAGAAAAATCAATCGAATATAACAAACCAGCGTATATGTGTTTTATTGATTTAGAAAAAGCGTTCGACCGTGTGCAGCTAAGAGACGTTGTACACCTTCTTTACAATAGGCAAATCCCACACAACCTCGTTAAAACCATACAAAACATATATGAAGCGAACCAAATTCAAGCTAAAA